AGGGTGGTTTCGAGTTAATTTTGGACAGTTTAGGGAGGCCTCTATGCTTACTATATGCTGGCAGGGGAATTTCTAGGGATTTGGCTCCCAAGATGTATCCTATCGTAGCCCTTTCGAACTGGCTAGATACCTCGAGATCATCCTCGGATCCGAGTTCAACTTGGTTAGAAAGTTTTGCCTGACTACCACTACTATGGATGTCACGGTACTCTTTTCAATTTTCTAAAGGGATAGCTCGGGCGTAGAGCTTTTATGCATGAATGCAAAAATTTAAATTGCGAAAATATAATTGCGCAAATAAGTAGAGAACACCCAACACGTAATAAAAAGTTAGAAAACTTATCGAACTTAGTTATATAGCTCGACTCTCGAAGTCCCCAGTGGAGTCGCAACCGTCCCTCCGGGGGTCAAGGTCGTTGCTTTCGCTTTTTGGGAGTCGTCATCGATCTTACTTGGAGTGGATCGAACACTCTTCGAATCGGCTCTAACCTTAGGGTGAGAACCGAGATATGGTCTGCGGTTAAGAGATTCGTGTTCGGTAGTACGGTTACATGTGGGGAAGTAAAATCACACCTCACAACGCCTTAAATCAGTACTACTTAAGTCGATAAGTTTTTATATGGGTTGGGTGTAATTTAGTAATTATGTATTTTTAAAAATCCCAATGGACCATTACTACATTGCTATTTCATTGAGTATAATTTAGCTAAACGTCCATTGACGTATTAGCTTACTATTAGGTATTTTAGGTATTTTTAGGGCCTTAATGGACCATTAAGAATTTAACCCGTATTAGTTGTAATTTAATTATACGCCCACTGGCATAAAAATTGGATACAAAATTAATTATTTAGTTGGACTCGAACCTTATCGGTTGCCTACGTACCCGTTAGACAGGATCAAAGTCCACATAGTTCGTTAGGAACTTTGATCGTTTTAATTATGACTTTTACCACGTTCCACTGAACGTAATTCTCGTATTATAATTTTGTTAGTAAAATTTAAATTGATTATTGCAAGGATTTTAGTTATTAGGAAGTATTTTGATGTATTAGAAAAGAAGCAAGATAAACTTAATCCGCATTTCACATTTCGTATTAAGGATTTTAAACAAATAAAACTAAGTGGGATGTTTAAATTAATGCATGATAGGCTAGCAGCCCAACTGGCTAAGTTGCCAGACCCAGACCGTGTTTGACTCCGAGAACAAGGGTTCGAAACATGTTAAATACAAATTTTTGGATTCTCGTTTTGGGTTCTTGTTTTAGTGCAGAGAAGGGGGAAGGGTAGTTTGGTAATTACTTAAAAGGACGGTGGCACGGCCGCATAATTAGTTAGAAACCCTAGGGGTAGAATTATCATTTGTAGGAAACAAGGTAGAACCGAATTTTTGGGTTTTTATCCATGGCAGCATAGCCTGATTTGGTTCTATCTTTTCTCCATGGCGGTATAGCGTGCTTGTTTTTTATATTTTAAAAATAGTATAGCATGATTTGGATTTATCTTGTTCCTACGCTGCATAGCCCGATTCAGGTTTTTATGGTCCCGTTGCGGCAGAGCCTGATTTGGGGTTTTTATCCATGGTGGTATAGCCTGATTTGGTTCTATCTTTTCTCCATAGCGGTATAGCCTGATTTGGGGTGTTTATCCGTGGCGGTATAGTCAATTTTGATTCTTTGTTGTTCCCATGTTTTTGTTATCGTGGCGGTATAGCCTGTTTTGGATTTCATTCACTTCCATGGTGTTGTTTTGGGTTTTTTATTCTTGTGGCGGTATAGCCTGATTTGATTTTTGTTGTTGTTGTGGTAGTATAGCCTGGTTTTTTCGTATGGCAGTATAGCATGGTGGAATTTTGTCTAGTGGATGTATAGCCTGGTGTCATTTCTATCTCGTGGCGGTATAGCCTTTTGGATCATGTGCATCATTGCGGTAAAATTCATGAGCATTTGTGAAAGTTTAACTCGATCACGAGTGGTATAGAGTTTTGTGCTTGGCATGAGGTGTTGAATCAGTTGAGTCTAAGTAGATTTTAGGTATGTTCCAAACTTGATATTGGTAAAGATTTGAATTTGACTTCACCATGATGTGCAAATGCAAGGTATTTTATGATATGATATGATGTGATGAGGTATGTTGATGAAGATGGTGCGCTTGATTGACAAATGAAGATGATGGGATATTATTAGTTTGAAGTGCATTAGTTTAAAAGTAAGATCAAGACCAATGCATCACCTTATCAATATCAAGGGAACATATACATTTATTGACAAATGATTTCTCCCATTTCAAAATTAGAGCCCGCAGATTGATTTCTCGGATGGGATATAAAGTCATTTTCGACATATTAATCATAAGACAACATTGTAAAAATAGCAAGATAAACCACAAATATATTATGTGAGAGCTCCAACAATTGGCATTCTCTAGTCAATGAGGCTATAGATCGGAAGTCGATCTACAAACTACTGAGTAAGAATAATATGTTCAATTTGGAGTTTGGCGACTATTAATTAGAGTAAAAAAATAAGAATGCTACTAAAGTGGACATATATCTCTTTGAATATATATATGGCAAAGCCTAGCATACGTCAGTAGTATGCTGTATGCCTGTGTTCATATTTGGTTTTTGCACTTCAATATATTTCGCTGAATCAGAACCGTCGGTTATTATTTTTTAGATTAAATGAATCTCGTGGCTTGGGTTAGAGAATTAGAGACTGGGGTTTATCCATTAGAGGTTAGGCCGTTAGGGTATCGTATCATGCCCAAAATTTCGGTTAATTCTTGCTCTAAATAGTAAAACTCGACGGGGGTACAATGTACGACTGAGCGTACGCTTGGGCGTACGTTAAACTACCGTATGCCCGTTTGAGTTTTGCTATTTAGATCAAGAATTAACCGGATTTTTGGGCATGATATTATACCCTAACCACTAATGGGTAAACCCCAGTTCCTAGTTTTCTAACCCAAATCATGAGATTCGTTTAATCTTAAAATGAAAATCAACAATAATTTCGACGAATCCGAACCGTTGATTTTCATTTCAAGATTAAATGAATATTATGCTTTGGGTTAGTGAATTGCGGACTGGGGTTCATCCATTAGGGGTTAGGGTATATTATCATGCCCCAAACTCCGGTTAATTTATATATATATGTGCATGTCTATATAGACAGAGAGAATCATCAATCTACCCTTTAAATTATGGGTGCATACATATAACTATAACATTTTTACATTAGATAAGGGTACTTTGTAATACCTAAATCACACAACACATTAATTATATATTCATAATCAATATGCAAAGTCGTCTCAATTTATCAAAAAAATAATAAATAACTGATAATTTTCACTATTATTTATTGGGATTTGGGACTATATTATTTTCACTTGATCTTATCGCCCAAGTCGTCAATGAATTTTTTTGTAAAATATTTATGCATAAAAAACAAACAACTAAATTGAATATGGTACTTTAACTTTATTAGTAAATTTAGACTTGGCTTCCAGTTCATGATATATAAGTGCACAAACTTCTGGTTACTAATGAATGATCTATGTTCCCAGAGTTTAAGTAATATAGTCAGTCCATGATCATCTACTATATTTGTCATGCTAAATAGTGTGATAAGAAAAATTATCGAGATACTCAACAAAAAGCAAATACGTCATGGTTAGTATTGCTTATGCAAAGAGATGGGAATCATTAACCACGGCTAATAATCATCTCTACAAGGTGCGAATCTTGGTTGAGAGATAATGTCAGGGGTCTAGAATTGCTAATGAAATGACGGTCGAAGTACTATTAAAAAAGTGTATGGCAAGGGTTCTTTTGACTTGTAGTAACGTTTTTCACCACTGCTAAATGTTGCAGTAAGGGGGTTTCCAATCCCTGCATGAACTCTCGCCAATGCTTTCTCTGTTATGAGTAGCAAAGAGTTTTAGCAACGCACGGTAGAAGTCACATCCAAGGGTTTTAGTAAGGGTTTTAACCCTTGCTAATGTACCAAGGGTTTAAAACCAATGCTACATATTAATATAAATTATAATTGACAAATTTCCAGCCATGAGTTGTAACCGTTGATAAATTGGTTGATAAAACTAACAAGGGCTAAAACCGTTGCCATACAGCGATGTGGCTGTAATGAGAAGATGTTCGTAACAAAGGTTAGAACTCTTGCATAATTCGACAATAAAACTTGATGAACATTTGTGTCCAATCCAACATGGTCACTAAAGTTGCATCCTAAAGAGAGGTGCCTCATTAATAACGACAATTTGGTTGCAAATACTGGTATTTTGTTCAATAGTTTCAAATATTTTGGTCATTATACTGTTGGTAGAACCATTATAGTTGCATCTAAAGAGAGGTGTCTCATTAGCAAATACATTTTCGTCGCAAATACTATAAATTAACATTCTAATATAATTGGTACAAAAACTGATTTTTTACATCAACAACCTCAACATTCTAATACAATTGTTCATTCTACTATAATTGGAATACCCTAACTTTTTGATTATTAACAAGCTCAAAGTTTTGGTGATAAATGTCATTCTATATAAATTGAAAGAGTCAGATCATTTTGTAAATAGGAAAACCATAGAGATTTAAATCTATGATCTTCAAGCAAACTATAAACACTGATTATAACCTCTGAACATGACTACAGAAACTGAGAAGTTGGAACCTTGATCTCGTTGTTCGTTCTCACTGGCAGGTTCCTCGCATTAATAGACCACTTGGCCAAATAAGATTAAATATAGTCAATATATTAATCATCCATTAATCTCTCCTTTAATTTGTCTTGATTTAAAAAACTAATGAAAAGTTTAAGGTTATAATATTGAAAAAATCTATTCGAACTCCGCAGAAGGTCACCGCGGGTAGGATGTCGATGAATAGTGGATCAGGACGACAATTGCGAGAATGCGTGGAGGATTCTTGTATCGTTTTATGTTTCAAAACAAATTTAGGATTCGGAATATGAAACTCGTCTATGGAAAGAAAATAAATTTCCAATTTAGGGCCGACCTAATAATGTAGTATAAACAAAGTAGGGAAATCCTTATTGTCACCATGTAGAATTTGCCATGCTGTAGTGATATTGGATTAATCACAAATTAACGTGGGCACCAATCTAGTATAGTTTTCTTATAATCCTTTGCCATCCAAATCTCTAACTATATGACCTTTAAAACAATGGATGATGAGAGTATCGAAATCCAAAGACGCGCGTACTTCCTAGTTCCTAGGCCAAAGAGACTGCAATCGGGCTTCTCACGACATGGTAATTATCCCTCCAAGTGTACCACCCAAAGCCGTAGCCATGTTTGAAGTAGTTGTTCGTAGTCGTCCTGTTATTCCGTGCCCTGATCGTCAACGTGAAGCTCTTCCGCTGCCCAATGCGGGTGAAGAACAGAATGCTGGGCCGGACCTTGATGGAGATTCCTAACGGCGGCTTGGCGCTGAAGAAATAAACGGCTTTCCCGTCGCCTCCCACGTTGGTCACCGTCCTCTTGATGGTTATGCTCCCCTTGAGCTTCGCCACAGACAGCGACGGGTAGTTGAGGTCGTACGTCGGCGGCGGACTCTCCGGGCAGTGAAAGTCCTTGTCGGCGCTCTTCACTCCGTAGCTGCAAAGGTAGAGAAGGTAGTCTTTATACGAGGCGTCGTACACGAGACCCGGATCCTCTGCCTTGGAGGGGCGGAAGTGACCCGACCCGAACTGGAAGGGCGTGGCTGTCTCCCCCGACGGATCCTTTATTGCCTCCCCCATGTTGTTCTTCATCCATGCTGCACAAATCAATTTTAGCCAAAAAAAAAATACCATGAACGAACTAACTAATGATTCTATATTGTAGACAGAGAACACGATCGAGTCAAATTAACGGACCGGTTGTGATGATGGCAGATCTGACGGCGGCGCTGCTCCAAGTTGGGTGTAGGGATCTGAGAAGTGCAGCTAAACCGGCGACATGAGGGCAAGCCATGGAAGTTCCGGATTCAATATTGTACTTAACAATTCTTTTATCTGTTGATAGTTTTGTCGGCGGGGAAGCTTCACTCCATGCTGCCAGTATGTTGAGTCCCGGAGCCGCGATGTCAGGCTGTTAATTAACAAATTAAAGACAAACCAATATAATTAATGTTAGCCTAACATACAATTTGATCGGATGAAGAAATAAATAATGACAAAAAAACAAAGCAACTAACTGGCCGTTTACCTTAAGGACATACGGATGAATGACGTTGGGGCCTCGACTAGTGAATCCGGCCATGAAAGGCGCCGGCTTATACCCTAACACGGTCTTTGCCTCTCCGATGCTAGCCGTTGGATTCTTGGTGGAGCTAATGTAGCCCATGATGTCAAGCGCCTCCTTGTAGACCACGGCGGTCGCCGGGAGTACATGAGCGTCGACGGACACTTCGTTGCCGTTACTGGCGCCGTTGCCGAGGATGAACCCCGCCCCGCCAGCCCTTTTCACTTCCAGCCCCTTGAGAACTCTCAACCCTGCGCCTCTCATGCACAACACTATTTTCCCCTTCACCTTTTCCGTCGAGAGAGAGTTGGGAAGGCACTGGTTCGTTTCGTTCTTTGGTACCCCAGCGCGGACGGCGTCGGCTGCGTACACCAGTGGGAGCGCCCTGAGAACGCTGTACGGAGTTACGGTTTGTCCCTGCACCAAAGAACAATTAAAAAACAAAGAGATCGAGAACTCGTCTTCCGTTAGTTATTCGTCCAAAAAGAAAAGAAAAAAATAAAAAACAAAGCACATACAATACCCCCACCTTGATCGTTTTGCCATTTCCAAGGACAAGAGGCCCATGAAATGCACGGTCCAGGCTGCTGGCGCCGACGGTGAGGATCCACGGCGGGGGATTGGACAGCGTGGCGGGGGCGGGGCCGGAATTTCCAGCGGCACATACAATGACGACGTTTCTCTTCATGGCGTGCAGGGCCCCGATGGAGAGGGCGTCGTCGGTGTGGTTGACGGGAGTCTGGGTTCCGATGGAGATGCTGATGACGTGGACACCGTCGGCGATGGCCTGGTCCATGGCGGCTAGCATGTCTTCCTCGAAGCAGGTGTTGCCCATCGCCTTCTCCTGCTTGGGGATGGCCCAGCACACCTTGTAGATGGCCAGCCGGGCCAAGGGTGCCCCGCCCGAGGCCGTTCCCTTGGCAAATCCACCGAAAGCCGATACGTTGTGGACTTGGCGGCCAGCCACCGTGGAGGCCGTGTGGGTCCCATGACCGTCCTTGTCACGCGGTGACCTGTAATCCTCCGTTTCGTTCAGTTTGCCGTAATACTTCTCAAACCCTTTCACGTAGTATCGCGCTCCGATGATTTTCCTGCAGCCATTCAAGTGCAAGTCAAACAAACAAAACCCAACCCAAACCAAACATATAATAAGTCTATGGAAGATTATCATATAGAGAATGCAAAGGTATGTAACAGTAAAAAATTGAGGATTACCTCGTTTCTCATTATCTTTTACAAGGGATCGGAACTTACTAATATGATTACCCATTCTTGGCTTTTTGGAATTATTGGAGAATTTACGCCTAAAAAGACTTGAATATCCAACACATTTTCAATTCGATATAATATAAATTTTATGTGTATATTACTCTATTTTCAGAGTCGGACTGGAGGCTGGATCGGAAAAGTTAGAGTTTTAGGATTAGTGGTTAACCGTTACAAAACCATTGGTAGAACCATTCAGGATATGTAACATACAAGACTTGTATATTACACTAATTTAAGAATGAAGTTATAATTGGCCATAAACAATTTCAGATTCATATCATCACCAAAATATCTATTAAATCATTCAACCCATAACTTTTTTAAGACCACGTAAAAACGATAACAACTTGATTGTCTTATTAGTTTACGTGAAAGTATTTTTAATTTTTTGTGTGGTTAAAGTGGTGGACAAGTTAAACCGTGGTGGTTTATATAATTTTATAAAGAAGTGTGAAAATCGTTTGGTCCATCAATAATCGCCATGCAATGATTCGGACCGCTATCGTAATTGGTTTGGCGATTTTAATAGCCCAACCGTTGATTCAATTCCGTTGTTATATTCTCAGAAAAGTGAAATAACGGAATAGAAATCATATTTGTTGACCCAAATACTTTGGCGAAGGGTGAGTTTTGAAGGGAAATCGCACCCGTGACATGAAAGAGAAATTTGGTTGCTTCCCTATCTGATGTCGTCGACTCTACAGAATCTGACAAAGTATTCTGGCCGGTCCACCCCATAAACAACGGATTGCGGAAAGGCTTTTTCGAGAGAGGAGAATATCAGCAGCGGTTCGACTGCAGCCAAAAGTAATCCAGCAATCCTGCTGCCTTATTTCCAAGGCGTATACCCAGAGAAGCAAAGCTATTGGCACCTAGTACAGCTGAAAGGTTACCCATCCCATTCCAAGTTGTCAATGGCTTGGATTTTATTTTAGGGTAACGTTTGGAATAAAATATGTTTTATAAGGAGGTGATTTTAGCAGCACACGTTGAATCACGGTTTTAATACTAGTCTAATCTTCAATACGATTTCATAATTCTTGGCGGATCGGATTTAGGGTGAAACTAGGAGTGCATACAAGCTTTATAAGGTTGTATATGCATGGTATACATTAAACAATGAGAGGAGTTTGAAAATTAGGATATTTCTAAAATATGTTATCCAAGACTTAATCGACAAAAAAAAATATGACGCTAGAGATAGTTGTGTTTTTCTTGGCAATGAAATATATGTGCACTTCGCATTATCAAAATCATTTGAACTCGTATGCGACCAGAAAGCACAATAATATATATATATTTGAAAAGCTTGAGGATAGAGCAAAAGAGGAGGGAGAGATGCACCCACTTGTTACAATGAGAGGAGTTGAAAGCTTGTCCGGTTTGGCAGATTCCTCTCCATGATCTAGGGATGGGTCCTAGCCCTTGCTCGCCAAAACTTTCTGCCTCTGGCCACACCCCTGCACAACATTCCAAATCACGCCTCCAATCATTCTATTGTATTATTGATGATTCCATGATTACAAAATACACTAGCTAGCACCAGCTAGTTTTGGAAGAGTATAGTATATACACTAGTAGAGGCAGAACCGGAAAATCAAATTACTGACCGCTGTCGAGGACTCCAACGATGACGGACTTGCCATAGCCAGCCCTGTGAAGCATATTGGGCTCTTCCTGGGCCACGGAATAAGCCGCGGCCTCATTCAGCCCCGCGAATTCCCACGACCTTGTCGTTTGGGTCGAGTACTTCCCCGGCCGGCTCTCCACCACGCCCACCACTTCTCCCGCTTCTGCGTACAAATCAAGCACATCACAATATATAATATATATACCTCAGGAAACAGAAAGAAACAGTCATATGTATTAGTTGAATTCTGCTGTCTGCAGCTTTCTACATACCTCTGAGCCTGGCGGCCTGTAGAGAGGTGAGGGAAGCGGCAAAGCCATTGATGCTGTGCTTGTAGCTGTAGATGAGGGAGGCTCTGGCCTCTTCCTCGGATTCCTTCACGGACGACAGGTACGAGTGGTGGCTTCCTTCTATCTCCTCCGCCGTTTTCTCTCCCGACTGCTCTCGGAGGTACACGATATACGTCTTCTCCGCACTTGTGGCGGCTACTGACAGAGCGAAGCCGAGGAGGAGGAGCAGAAGCGGAGAAAGGTTCTCCCCCCTCGTCGTCATTGTTTGGCGGAGGACGTGTTGTTGGGCTTTTTTTTAGCTGGTGTGGGGAGGGAATCTCTTTAGTTTGTTGGCCTTTAGGGTATTCTATTTATCTATACCTTCTTTCTTTTTTCTTTTTCATTTTTCTTTTTTTTGCCAGCCGGTGACAATTATTTTTCCTCTTAAAACTATTTTTATTTCCCTAATTTTATGCCAATTAAATGACTTGCGGAATTTATTTGTGAAACGTACGTACGACTACGAGAGTGAGCGCCCGGCCAGTTGGAATGGGATTTACTTGGGATTTTTATTCATTTATTATATATTGTTTCTAACTAATTCCTCATAGCTAGATAGGGTAGGAGGGAAAGATTTTCGGGAATAAGGAGTGAGCCGATCCACGTTTCTAATTTTAGGCAGCCATAGCCATACGTATAAATCAGCGGAGGTAGCTAGTAGTGCATGTGTAGTCACACTCTTCCACTCCTGTTGTACTCGATAATGGAACTCGATCTTTAATATTCGTAGCACACAAAAAAAAAGAAAATCTCTTCAATTTCGCGGATTACCATCTAAAAAGCTTTTGTCACTTTTAAATTCAGCTAGGGTGGGCAATGAGTTGGTCCACACAGGATCACATCGAATCGCATGTACTATGTATAGACTAACGGAGGAATTGGGAGAGAATGACATAGTGTATTATTAGAATAGAAACTCATTTATACAGATGTTGGGATAGATACATCTAACAGTAACAAACAAACTAGGAGATAATAAAGGAACGTGGGAGTTGTTGTGCTACTGGAGTGGAGGAGCTAAACTCGGTGGGCAGTTACTCCTAATACGCCCCCGCAAGATGGAGTCGTCGGAGGAGACACCAATCTTGGGACAAAGGTACAGGAAGCGGGCCTTCGGAAGTGGTTTGGTGAGCAAGTCGGCCAGCTGAGACTTGGAGGGAAGATGATGTACAATGAGCTGACCCTTCTCAACGCGGTCACGTACGAAGTGATAATCAACAACAATGTGTTTCATGCGGGAATGAAAGACGGGGTTTGAGCTGAGGTAGGTGGCGCCAAGGTTGTCACAGAAGAGTATGGGTGCCGTGGGTGGAGCAGATTGAAGTTCAGATAATAGAGAGCAATGCCAGGCAAGTTCAGCAGCTGCAGCGGCAACGGCTTTGTACTCGGCCTCGGTGGAACTACGAGCAATGCTCTTCTACTTCTTAGATGTCCAGGAAACTGGTGCAGAGCCGAGGTAGACAATGTAGGCAGTTGTGGAGGAGCGATCGTCGAGGTTGCCGGCCCAATCAGCATCAGAAAAGGCGTGGAGCTTAAGAGGAGCCAAGGCAGAGAATGAGATCCCATGACTGAGAGTACCCTTGAGATACCTTAGCACACGTTTAACAGCCTGCCAGTGAGATTCAGTTGGACGGTGCATGAACTGAGATAAGCGGTTGACTGCGAAGCTGATGTCGGGCCGAGTGAACGAGAGGTACTATAGGCCGCCGATGATGCTGCGGAACGTGGTGGCATCAATGGTGGTAGAGCCATCATCAAGCCGTAGCTGGGAAGTGGAGGATAACGGTGTGGAAGCAGGCTTGGCTTCCAGCATTGAGGCGCGATGAAGAAGATCAGCTGTGTACTTGCGTTGAGTGAGATGTGCACCGGTGGAACTGCGAACAAACTCGAGACCAAGAAAGTAATGGAGATCACCCAAGTCTTTAAGCGAGAATCCAGTGGTGAGTCGTTGAACACAGGCGTTGACATGAGTCGGAGAGGATCCAGTAATCACTATATCATCGACGTAGACCAGAAGGTAAATGGTAACGGTGGAATGCTGAAGAAGGAACAGAGAGACGTCGGACTTCGACTGTGTGAACCCGGATTGTAGGAGGAAGTCACGAAGAGCATGATACCAAGCACGAGGTGCTTGTTTGAGGCCATAGAGCGAACGGTGTAACCTGCACACATAGGAAGGATTAGTGGAGTCTGCATGGCCTGGAGGTTGGTCCATGTAAACTCGTTCGGTGAGGACGCCATTGAGAAATGCGTTGTTGATGTCTAACTGTCGGATTGGCCAACCACGAGCAATGGCAATAGCGATAATGACACGGATGGTGGCCGGCTTGACGACAGGGCTGTATGTGGCGTGATAGTCCACGCCAGGGCGCTGGTGAAAGCCCTTGGCAACCAATCGAGCTTTATATTGAGCAATAGAGCCATCTGCATTCCGTTTGATGCGGAAGATCCACCTGCAACCAAGAACATGAGCATCTTCGGGACGGGGAGTTAATGTCCAAGTCCCATTAGCAGCTAGCGCCTGAAGCTCCTCCATCATGGTTTGGCGCCAAAGTGGATCACGGAGTGCTTGTCTCACACTGGTGGGTTCGACGGGAGAGGAGGGTGGATGGCGAGTAGCAGAGAAGAGGCGTTTAGGTCGGAAGATGTTGTTTTGGGAGCGTGTGACGATTTTGCGAGGTGGGGGAGGAATGATAACAATGGAGGTGGCGGGAGGGGGTGGACTTCGTGGTGGGTCAGGTTCTGTGGGCTCGGGAACGGGTTGGGCTTGGCGGGTGATATCATGGATGGAAGGAGGGTCGGTGGGGACGGTGGTATTTAGTGGACCAATTGGGGAAGGTGTGTCAAGATTGGGCGCAGGGGAGGAGGGAAGGTTTATGAGTTGGGCTGGAGGAGGAGCTGGCGTCTCGGACACAAGGGGTGGGTGTGGTGGGGAAGAGTCATAGGGTACGGGGAATATTAGGGGTCCATTGTTGAGGGAGGAAATCCATGACGTGGTGGAGGCAGGGGATGGAGTGAGTTTGGTGAAGGGAAATTCAGCTTCATCAAATGTAACGTGACGGGAATGGTAAACGCGACCAGAGGTTGGATGGAGACAAAGGTAAGCACTTTGGGTTGGACTGTAGCCCAAGAAAATGCATGGATGAGACCGGGGTTCAAGTTTGTTGGACGAATATGGACGTAGAAAGGGAAAACAAAGGTAGCCGAACACGCGAAGTTTGGTATAGTTGGGAGCCGTGTGGAAAAGCTTGGAATGGGGAGATTCATGGGACAAGACGGGGGTCGGAAGTTTGTTGATGAGATATACAGCAGTGCGGAAAGCATAGGTCCAGTACATGGCCGGGATGGATGCTTGATGAAGTAAGGAAAGACCAGTTTCGACGATGTGGCGGTGGCGGCGTTCAGATATGCCATTATGTTGGGGAGTGTGAGGAGGGGTGGTGAGGTGAGTGATGCCATGAGAAGAAAGGTAGGAATTAAGTTTGTCGTATTCGCCACCCCGATCTGAAAATAAAGTGACAATGGGAGCCTGATATTGATTCTCAACGAGAGCTTAGAAACGAGGAAAGATATCAAATAGATCGGATTTGCGTTTGAGGGGATAAAACCATACAAATCGAGTGTGGTGATCCACAAAAATCACATAATAACGATAACCATCGACGGAGGTAACAGGAGCAGGACCCCAGACGTCAGAATAAATAAGTTATAAAGGACGAGAGCTGTTTAAGGAGGATGTACAAAAAGGTAAACGATGACTTTTACTACACTGACACGCATGACATGTCGACAATGCCGGTGTGACAAATGGAAGGGAGTGGCGGGTGAGAATTTGGTGAAGTATTGGTGGGGCTGGATGGCCGAGTCGACGATGCCAAACGTCCCCCGAGGTGCGAACGCCAACCAGAGCACGGGGGAGTGTTTTATTGGTGAAGGAAGCAGGAAACTCGTAAACGCCATGTCTAGCGCGTCCCTGAAGAAGAGGGGTCCCGGACGGCTGCGATTTGACAACAAAAGAGGATGGAAAAAATTCCACAGAAGCTTGGTTAGAGGCACAAAATTGGGACACGGAAATAAGGTTTTGGGATATGGATGGGGAGCACAGAACATTGTCAAGGGCAAAAGTATGGTTGGGAGAGGATAAAGATAGAGAACCAGTGTGAGATATAGGCAAACCTGAGCCATCACCAATTGCAATGGTGTCAGGACCATTGTACTTTTCTGAGAGAGCAAGATTGGTGAAATCATCGGTAACATGGTGAGATGCTGCGGAGTCGAGAAGCCAGGAAGGAGTGCTGGTCGTTACGTGAGCTTGCGGCTGAGTTGTACGTAGCTCCGGATGGATGCGGTAGCATGTGCGTGTAGTGTGGCCGACACGCTGACAGTATTGACAGATGGGCCTGTTGGACAAAGGCTGGCCAGACGAGGGTTGTGCGGGACGTGATCCTGTGGGCAGGGGCCCAAGAACTGATGTCGGACGAGAGTTGGAGCGAGGAGATTGACGGCCGCCGGGAGGGCCGCGGGGCTGCCGAGCCGTGGAGTGCGCAAGAGGCGAATGAGATAGAGTGGCAGAGCGTTGGAGATAAAGATCATAACTGACCAGTTTGTCGTAGAGCTCGTCGAAAGTGGGTGGATTGTCACGAGCACGGATTGCAGCTGCCATCTCCTTGAAGTCAGATCCGATGCCGTGGAGGGTGTGAATAACAAGGTCCATGTCACTGACGGGATCGCCGATGAGAGCTAGCTCGCGTGCAAACCCCTTAATGGAGGAGAGATAGGCTGGAACAGATTGGGTACCTCGAGTAAGAGCAGCGAGCTGATCACGCAAATGCATAGCTCTGGATCGGGAGGGATTGGCAAACATACGCTCCAGAGTTGACCAGGCGTCGCGAGCGGTAAGAGCGGCGTCGATGTGCGGCATGAGAATCTCTCCAACAGATGCCAAAATGGCATGAAATATAAGACGGTCTTGACGAGCCCAACGGCGATAGGTTTCGGACGTCCGGTCGGCGGGAGGAGTACCGGTGCCATCAATATGAGAAAGTAAGTCATAGCCAAAGAGCAACGATGTGAACTGGGATCTCCATGACGAGTAGTTGGGGCCAGTGAGTCGGACAGTGAGTTGAGAGCCCACGTTGAAGGAAACAAGGGAAGGAAGGGAAGAATCGCCTGATGGAGGAGGAGTGGTTTCAGATGAGACGCTGGACGCCATGTTTGCTGGGAGTGGAAGTAAGAATGAAACAGGGATCAGTGGGAAGGAAAGAAAAGGATACCTTGTTAGAGGATTTTTAGGTTAGCTCTGATACCATATAGACTAACGGAGGAATTGGGAGAGAATGACATAGTGTATTATTAGAATAGAAACTCATTTATACAGATGTTGGGATAGATACATCTAACAGTAACAAACAAACTAGGAGATAATAAA